GTCGATTAGAAAGATTTATTATGTGAGAAAACTGGAAAAAAAAGAGAGCAACTTTTTTCCCGCGTATTTATAAAGGATAGCGTAATAAAAAAAAAACAGAAAAAATATATATATATAGATTGGCACTTCTCTGCCGGGGAAATATTTTCAAGATTGAAATTCCAACGAGAGAAATGACGAAGAAAAATTTCCGAGGATAAAGGCATATTGACGAACGCGGTAAGAGCATACATTAATGCATTTGCAATGCCAATCGGGCCATCGACGGACGCGTTCGGAAAACGACGGCGTAGTGAAAAATTCCGCGATGGGATACCAGTACGCTCAGATGTAATTTCGCGGGGAATTATTATGCGTCGTGAGGAAAAATTTGTAAAGCGCTTCAAACGTATGCGACTCAGTTTCGGAATACGGGATATAACTCGTAAACCGGGCGCGATAATTGTATTAAAAAACGCGCACCTATAAACAATTTTTTTCACGTGCGCATCTCTCTCTCTCTCTCTCTTTCTTTCTCTCTCTCTCTCTCTCTCTCTCTCTCTCTCTCTCTCTCTCTTCAGTGGATAAAAATGCGGATGCGATTAACGCGATTTTCATCTCCGAGATTCGCGTATAAATAAGTGGGAAATTATATTTCCGCTTTCTGTCGATGAATTCGGACGTATTTAATACTCGGATTATGCTCAGACGGATGGCTTAGCGAATGCTGAAGAAAGACCGTATCTTCGATAAGGACAATGTCCGAATTAAATTGATCCAGATTCTACTATGAACTCAGCATACGTCCAAAATTCAATATTCAGCTGATATGCTTCATAAGGAGAATTAATACATCCTCCAAATGTCGATATATCCTCCTCATCAATGAGATTTTGGCGCCAATTACTAATATTAAATCATTTATACAAATGATATACATACACTTGTGTTGAATAAGGAAACGCAATGTTGTGATATGATAATTTTTTGAAGGAGAATTAAAGTTGCTATCACTTGGAATAAGAAGATCTTCAATAAGAATATACAAAGATACATATCACTGAGATTTTATCATATTATACATAAATCAATAAAGATAGTACACTTGGGTTTTACTTTTTAATTTAATACATTTCTTTTTTCGACGAGCGTCATACTTTCAGCCTTTCCAACCTTTTTCAACCTTTTATATTTAAAAGATAATTTTGTACTGTTAATAAATATTACAAACGTCGCTATATCTCTATCAATATCTACATCTGATGTACGATAAACATGTATCTCGAACACGACGTAGTCTCGCAAACGCATAACGATAATCGATCGTTCAAGATTCGCATCGCTCAAGATTCAACGGCTGTACGTGCCTGAGGGCGGCAATATGCAAAATAATTCTGCTTATATATCTCAGCGGAGGAGCCAGGGACTGCGAAGGAACACGATCGCTGTAGTCGGTGCGCGTTTGACAGAGCAATGTTTTCCTCCGACAAAACGTATGGCGGTCGATCGTGCGAAATGGACCGGTGAACGGCGAACGTGAGCGAGCGTGAACGCGGGCGCGAGCGAGGCGAACAAAAAACGACAACCGTGAGTTGTGCGGCACGTTACGACGTAATGTAAAGGCCACGAGGCGTCCTGAACGAAAAAGTTTTCTCGTTATCCATCCATCCGCCCGGGGACTGCCGGGCGAAAAAAGGCCGGTAAATTGCGGATCCACAATTCCCGCCAAAGCGACTATGTCCCCCGTCTGATCCGCGCGCGGATGTTTCAATCGCGTGAGACGTCGGTGATGGCATTACGAATACACGATTACGCGCCCGTACAAATAATCCTTATTCGATGTTCTCTTTTACGACGAGCCGATCCCGAGAGGAGACTTAGCCGAGATATACAAGCAAAATGAGGCGCTGAAGGGGATGAATCGGCAGTGGTGGTTCATGTAATACCCACGCGTAAGATCTGCTTTTAGATATAACTACGTATTATTTAAAATGGATCCTTCTACGAATCGTGAGCACGCTTTACTCCAGCTATGTACGCTTCAATTATTTCGCCCTTTGCTCGTAGCAGTTATAATAAGCCAACATTGTTCCTTGAAGTATCGAAGTTCCAACGATGCTGCAATATCCTGTATAATTTGTATACGCGCGTCTTACACAGGCTTGATAAGAGCGCGGAGATGAAATTCCAGGATTGCGCGGAGAGCAACAGGATTTAACGTTGCTCTCGCGATCCTTTTTCGACGAGGTCGGGCATGGCAATTTTGAGGGAGAACGATTCGTAATTTCGCGAATGCAACAACGACGCGCAAATATCAAATGTCAGAAAGTTAAATAACACGCGGGGATGAAAGCTCTATGATCTCTTCACGTATAGCGAACCGGATACGTTGTCGCCGAACGATATCGGTGGTGATGCACCGCGCGGATTGATACCGGAGCATCAAATTGGCCGATTTCCCCGCAATTCCCCACGGTCCACTATTCCGTGGCCGCGAATTTATTTTCGCCAATGTGAAGCCACCGGCGGTTGAGATGGCGGGGATATGTGGTTGACGATATCCCGCCTGCGGAATACTTTAACGCGAAACGCGAAATTTACCGGCTCGTATTGCGAGCGAGTGGCGCGGCGCCGCGCCGGGCCGGCACGAGAATCATCGGACACGTCCATCGATCCGCCTCTTGTCGATATGAATATCTATTAGACGTAATTGATGTCTACCATCCGGCGTAGCGAATGCCGCGGTAAATGTCAAATCGGCCTCGCCCACTCTGACTGATCGGTGTTGTGAAAACGCTTCGGCTCCGATAGACGAGCTGCCAGCAAATTGTCTGTTGGAAAAATTTCGCTGTCGTGTGGGACATCGAGATATCGAACCGCTTTTAGTTTCCACTCTGGCAGCGGCGCGCAGCTATGCGAAGTATATTGGAAATAGGATGGAGGATAAAAGACAGGAATTTTTCTACTGTATATACGCATTTCGTATTTAATTATTTTAATTCGCGAAATTTCGAGTCGCTATAATAAAAGCTTGTACTCATTGTGAATTCTTTTGCTGTGTACGGTTTGACGAGGATAATTAGTCTTGTTGCTTCTTTTGAGGAAACATGTGTGCTTGACTAATTGTGAGAGAAAAAAAAAAAAATATATATATATATATATTTCAATTA